AGCACCCGCGCCCTAAAACAAAAACCCCCCCAAAAAAAAAAAAAAAAAAAAGAAAGAAATTTACAATTTTGAGACTAATTTTTTGGGGAAAGGTTTTTTTGTTGTTGTTGTTGTTGTTGTTGTTGTTGCTATAGAGCATGTGCACTCACCAGAAAGGCAGAGAGAGACAAAGAGACAGAGAGACAGAAAGAGAGAAACCACTGCCCAGGGGGGATAGACACCTTGCAATCCCTTCTCCTCCATTCTTCTCTTGGGATCTTGGGCATGCACACACATGCGCCCGGTGTGAGTTTAGGCCACCTGGTCTGGGACTCAGACTGCGGTGGACTACATGGGAGTCCAGTGACATAGCCATTACGCTAACTGCTGGTCACGAGACTAATTCTTTTAACTCCACTGTGTATTTTACATTTACAGAACATCTCTGTCAGACCAGCTACATTTCAAGGGCTCAATAGCCCCAAGTAGCTAGCGGCTTTGGTACCAGATAGCAATAGCATACCTCCAGAAGGGACACTGACAGACATTAAATGCAGCATGATTATTCTTTACAGAGAGAAGGAAAGAGGCTAGAGGATGTCAGACTGTGCTGTTTTACACAGGTCAGTTAGCACTCTGGGGAGGTGACGTTGAGCAGACCCCAAGGAATTGAAGAAGGGCTGCACAGGGCCAGGCAGGTAGTGTGGTGGTTACGGTGACTCGACCCCACATGGCTGGCTGCTTGGTGTCAGTCCTGGACCTGGTGACTTGAAAAGGGGTGTGTGCATACATGCCCAAAATCCTGAGAGGAGAATGGAGAAGGGATTGCTGTGTGGCCATCCCCCGAGGGTGGGGGGTGATTTCTCGCTTTCTTTCTGTCCCCCAACTCCCCCAGTGAACAAACACACCTTATAGCAAATTTAAAATAAAGAAGGAAACTACAGAAATATTTGGGCAAGAGGAGAGGAACAGCAAGTGCAAAGGTCTGAAAGTAGGAAGATATGAGACCCTTTTGAAGACATCAAGGAAGGGTTAGCAGGTGGCATGGTGGTTAAGGCACCAGGTTCCCACATGGTCGACCACAGTTCAAGTCCCGGAGTTAGTGGCTTGAAAATTATGCCCGGCACATGTGTGTCCAAAATCTCAAGAGGAAATGGAGAAGGGGAAATGGAGAAGGGATTGTGGTTGTGGCCCATCCCCCCTGGGGGGTTGATTTCTCACTTTCCCTCTATGGTCAGCACTCTGGTCCTACGGTAAAAACCTAAAAAGAAAAAGACACCATGAGACCAATGTGGTTAGAACCATGTGAGTAGAGGAAAGAAAACACCAAGAACAGATTATGTAGAGCCTTGAGATAAGAATTACACACCTAGAAACACTTAGGGGCATTCCTCATTTATGTCACACACGTGAAGTTATTTTGCGCTGGCTTGGCGGCCTGTGCTATCATTGCTCAAGCAGTACTTGCTCCACATGGGAGATGGAGGGTCCCTGGCCGACTTGTCCATGCTGGGCACGCACATCCATGATGCTGGCTGGTCAGCAGGCTGGAGAATAGGCTCAGTGTGAGACCCGACTGAGGTGCCTCTTCATTTTTCACTTTCATGAATAAAACTTAAAAATATG